CTTCCACAACCTCGACCGCCGCACCATACACCTGGCCGACGGCACCGTTCGCACCTACTTCGCCCTCCCCACCGACTACCCGTTCGAGCCCGCCCCCTTGCCCCAGCTCCCGCACTTCCCGCGTGCCGGCCCCGAAGCCTGGCCGCCGCATCAGCCACCGCCGCCGCAGCAGTTCCCGCCGCACGACAAGCGCAGGCACCCCGCCGACCCCGAGGAGGGCTTCTCGAGGCACCCGAAGCAGCCCCGCTTCGAGCCGCCGCCGCACCAACCGTCGCAGATGCAGCAGCCCCCGGTGGACCGGCAAGCGCTCGGGAAGGCGTTCCTCAAGTACTCCAAGATGCTCAACGAGAATCCCGCCCAGAAGCGGATCTACCTTGAAGGTGGACGCGTCCAATGTCTCCCCTGCGGCAGGTTTGGTGATCCCGCCTTGCTTGTCACTTCCTTACTAGGAAGCATTCTTGTACAGATTGTACTCAGTTTTTTGTGCTGGCTTCTTTCCATTGTGGAGCTTGCTCTTACGTTTTGACTTCATATGACCTTACTATGTCTTCCTTATTGTCGTAAACCAAAGCTGATAATACTATGTGCATGTCTAGCTGGAGAGGCACACATTGTGCCCTAGGTTTTTATGCCGCTCACGCTCAATCAACATAGGTTCTATATGTGGTCTACTTGGCGATGTCTGACAAGTCTGTTCATTCCTCTAGATGTCGTGTCACTTGGCATAAGTAATTAAATAGGAATAATTTCAGGTGAATTGTAGCTTTGCTATTGCTTCATTTCATCTGATACAGGCATGGAATTGAACTGCACTTGATGCAGCGCCATTATGGTCCCTGAAATTAGTTTCTGTTATTGAATATTTTATTTCCTTGCCTGAGAACAACGGTATCATCATATTCTACCAGGCCCTTTGTTTGTTTATGTGAGCTTGCCTCTGTGGCTAGTGCATATCATATGTGATCCATGATGTCTCTTTTCCGCCCACTGAAGCTTGGAGCAAAGTGGTATATTACTTTTGTGATAACCGAGAGAACTGCGAGGCTTTCTTTTCTACTTTGGCATATAATATTAGAATTAATACTGTTTTTATTTGAAATTTGTTATTAGGCTATTAGTGCGAAACTTCCAAGTTATAACTATCCTTGCATTTTTTTTCAGAGCTACTTTTTGTGTGATATTTCTGATCCAGCTTTCTAGTACAATATTCTGGAACAATATATGTACTGCATATTCTGTTTCACTTCTTGTAGCTGAGTAATTAACATATTGGCTGATACTGCTCAGACAGATATGCTACTACCATATTTTTTCGTTGGCTATAAATAGTACTATTTGTTTGAGGAAATTTACATTGTTCTCCCTCCGTTTCCAAATATAAGCCCTTTTAAAGATTTCAATATGAACCACATACGGATGTATATAGACATATTTTAGAGTGTAGATTCACTCATTTTGCTCCGTATGCAGTCCATATTGGAATCTCCAAAAAGTCTTATATTTAGGAACTGCGGGAGTATGTAATTAATCGTACAGATTTGGATCCTGCACCAGCTGGAATGTACCATTCCACTGCCCAAAAAAGCTCTGCGGAGGCTGTGTTATTTACTAGCCTCAGATTCGTCTGACTCTAGCCATGCTTGTCAACTATGGTTCGAGCGATTCGCAAGTAGGAGCGAACCTTGTCGCACCAGTCCACATTACGCCCTGATGTGGCACTTGCCTCACATCTTTGCATGAATTGTGCCAAACTTGTACTGGTTCACTGCAGCATGCACAGCTTCATGTTACCCCGTCATGCCTCTCGTAGATCAGCTTGCACTGGAGCTGGATTGTGCCATGTCAGGAGCATAGTTTTTAAAAATGAACTAGACCAGCGGTACGACTAGAAAACCATGGAACCGATGACCTGTCCTGCCTGGTTTGGTTAGACTACCATTTAAGCACATGAACCAGAGAAATCCCACTCTGACTGTCCGTTTCAGTGCCGAACTTGGAGGAAACCAGGAGCTGTCAAATCACCCAAGTGCGCCAGGGGACTCCTCTTTTGATATTCCCCCCAAGACCACCCAAGTGTGTCAACGGACTCCTCTTTTGATATTCCGCCAAAAGTAATGTGTGGGAGGGGTTCGAAACCACAACCTCACCTAGTGAGGTCTGAATTTCATCGCCACTTAGCAACTAGACCTGATTACTTTGGTGTATAACACCCAAATCTCTGAATATTTGGAATTCTGAGGGTTGTGAGGAAGATGTGAGTGAGGGAGAAAAGGGTACATGAGTGGGTGACAAAGACAAAGTATAACTTCGTTTTGAGGAGTTTCCCGCTGTCCAGCCTGCGGCTACTCTGGGATGGATCGAGGTTTAGGCCAACAGAGGGGCTTGCTCCCTTTCTTCTGGAGTTAAGAAAGGAACCTATTCTTTGATCTTTGGTGGGCCAGTATGTCTCATTTGAATGGGCTTCCTGTGACAATGTTTTTGAATGCTTGCCTATTGATTCACATGTTACAGCTACAATGCATGTCGGAGAGGTCTGTCCGTTTGTGAGGGTGAGCTCACGTGCGTGTAATAAAGCTATGGGCTAATGAATTGTATTATTGCTATTGTATATCTTGAAATGGCAAGTCCTAATGGGATGGTACTATATGGTCTATTCCTAGAGGCAACTCGGATGCAATTAGCAATAATTTTGGTATTGGAATATTTACCTTGTATTTTTTAGGTTTATTTATGGATAGTTTGGTAACCTGTGACATGGTGGTTTTGCGGCAGATGAGGCAATAGAATAGCTGGCATTATTCTATCGAAATATCATTTGTGATTTGAACAACCCAAGATTGTTCTAAAATTTTCTCATCCGAAAGGGGACTTGGAGGTATCACCCTCATAGAGGCGCCGTTATTACTTATCATACCTAGACCGGACTAACGTGACTGCAGAAAACGTAGACCTGATAGCTTGTTGGATCTAGGTCTATCAGTCTATGGGCCACGATATCATCCTCTGAAATTTGAACGTACAAGCTCTTGTGGTTTATAATCAACTTGCAAGTAAGAACATAGTATAATATTCGACAAAATTAACACATACTCCCTCCGCCCGAGAAAACTTGTCCCTCAAATGGATGTATCTAACACCAAGTTAGTGCTAGATACATCCATTTGAGAGACAAACTTGGGACAAGTTTTTTCGGATGGGGGGAGTATTAGTTTTCTTGTACTTTTAGATACATATTCCATCTACATATTATTAGTGTTTTAGGGAAAGCATGGGACACGAGTGACCAGGTGACGTGAGGCCTTTGTAGGGGTGGTTGTAATAACATTGCCAAGAGAGTGATAAGATCCTAGAAGATGGCTACAAGGGTCGGTCACCATTTTATATGGCAACTTGAATTTTGCCTTTGTCCAAAGGGCATTAGGGCAGTACATAATTCTACATAGATGCCATCTTATCTCCACTTTGATAACTACATCTAGTATGTCTCTACCGTGGGAAAAAATATCGAGAGAAAGTACAGAAGGTAGATGCTACCAAAATGGTAGATTAATTAGATTGGATATTTCATATTTGTCCATCCATCCTATCCCCTTAAGGCTTGTTGCATGTCATTGTTATTGCAAACTTCCTTTTGCATAACCTCATTCTTTTACGCGTGTGATACTCAGGCTGGGCATTCAGTTACACCGAACCGAACGGTTCGGTTTATCGATCTATTACAAAATTCGGTTTTCACAAAACGATGACCGATTGGTTTATTGCTAAGCCACTAACCAAGGCATTTGGTCATGGAGATTTCGGTTCGGTGCTCGGATTTAATCGACTAAACCGAACAGAGTTAAATCAAGCCAAAAGAAGACGAACACAGAGCAACTGCACCAATGAGAACGCAAACATATCAAATTATCAATTGAAGGGAAGGGAATAAGAAATGTAGTTGGATGCGCTAATCGGGACAAAGGGGACGCGGCGGCAGTGCTTCTTACAGATCACGAGATGCACTGCTGTTGACTGGAATGACACCGGCGAGATGTCGAGTTGGGGTGCAGCACGGCCGCATGCCACAAGTCGGAGAAAAAGACGGCGGCGGTCCATGTCCAGCGGGTGGCTGGATCCAGCTTCACCGGGGATGCGATCTGCAGGACACCGATGTCCGCCTGCACTGGCCGCTAGGGTGGATAGTTGTGGTCTTGGAGTCCTGCTAGGGAGGAGAGTTTGAGTTCTTGGGGAGGTCACGAACTCAAGATGGATGGGAGGGCTAGTTGGCGGCTAGGGCGTGGTGTGACTTGTGACTTGTGAGGCTGCGACGGGATAAGGATAGGAAGCAACTTGGGAATTTGCGCAAGTGTACGAGCCTTTCGTTAGTTTTCTTGCTTTCTCGGTTCTTTTGGTCAACTCCTGTGTGAAACTGAATTTACCGAAGCAAAAGTGGTTCGCTGTAGTTGTTGACCGAATGTACTACCGATTTTTTTGGTTTCGGTGACTTCGGGTTCGGTCCGGGTTTTTCAGCTTGGTTTTTCGGTCAACGGTTTTTATGCCCACCCCTATGTGATATGTCCCAATTATAGTTTATTCAGACTCACCATATCTATATTTTCCTCATATGGTATATCTTCTTTCCTTTCCGTAGTTGACCCAAATGCATCTCGTGTCGAGAACACATCTTTTTGTTTCACAAGCCTATTGTCAGTATGGTTACCTCCTAACATATGCTTACAAAGATTGGCATACACACAGGTGCCATTAAAAAGCCCTTTAATAGAACTTCTTTCCTTTGATGCCCCTTGTTTCCGATCAGCAGTCAAAATTTAACGTGCTTCCCTGTGTATGGCAAACTTTTATTGGTTGGTAAGTGTAGGGGATAAATGGACGAGTTAATGGCATGCTGGGACTAAAACTAAACATCAGCCATCAGCCTTAGACTTAGTGGTTGTGATTATCTGTGCATGGTAGCTGAAGCATGTTATTTTACTGGTGAACAAATATTACACTGTTTTCTTGTCGTGGGCTCTTCTTCGACATTGAAATTCTGTTTTCATGCTTTCTTGTCTCACATGTGTAATTGATATGCTTGGGGGCTAGTGCAATATATTTGACATTCTTTTTCATTTGTAGACCATGTCATGTGACAGATTTGATGGTTACATTTATTTTAGTAGATATCAGCTCTTGTTGAACATGCCTTAATTTGTTTGCATTATGTCTGGTCAATGTGCACAATTCCAGGTCTTCTAAGGACTTTGCTGATGTGCACGGGCTTGTCATGCATGCTTACAACCCACCAAATGCAGATTCATTTGTTGATCATCTTGGTTTACACAAGGCATTGTGTGTCCTTAAGGGATGGGATTATACAAAAGTCCCTGATAACTCTAAGGCATACCAGTCATTACCTCCTGACCTTGTTCGAGCAAATAGGGAGGACCTTATTATATGGCCTCCAACTGTTATCATTCGTAACACTGCCACTGGGAGGAAGAAAGATGGACGCTCTGAGGGTCTGGGAAACAAAGAAATGGATAAGAAAATTGCAGGTATGTCTATAATGTAGTCTCCAACTTATAAAGTGAACAGTTGTTGCATACTTGGTTGGATAAGTGCACAGAAGTTTCTTATTCGCACCGTGTCCTTGATATCAATGTCACATTTATGCAAGAGACCTAAAAAACTTGTATGGTAACGCTTTAATGACCTTTCACCCTGGTCTTTCACTTTTTCCACTGAAGCATTTAGCATTATTAAAGCTATGCATTTATGTTAGGTCCATTATTCATTATACTGATCTAGGAACATTGTGGTCCCATTGGAATTGAACATACAAGACGGTATAGCTTGTCAAACTGATGGATTGAGAACACTGAATATTTCCCATTCTTTTATGAGCTCAGTCCGTGTACTACTCTCAGGCACATTACTACCATGTGATATGGTTGACTCCGGTTGATTGTGTTGAGAGATGAGCTTTGCATGTTTTTAACTTCTGTTAGAGTCGGTGAGGGTTGCGTGATTATCCTATTTTGTTGGGTCATAGAGCAAACTGTGAAGAACAGGCCTGGCGCAGTGGTGAAGTACTCCCCGCTTGTGCCAAGAGGTCCTGGGTTCGACACAGCCTCTCCGCATTGCACTGTGCAGGGGTAGGGCTTGCTTCATATAATCCTTCCCCAGACCCCACCTGGGGTGGGAGCTTCTAGCACTTGGTCTGTCCTTTATAGAGCGGAACTCTCTTGATTGATTGGAGAGGTGAGAATTGTGAGGTTATCCTATTTTGTTGGGCCATAGAGCAGAACTGTCTTGGCTGAGGCAGTAGCATGAGTGCTGTGAGTTCTTGCAAGGTTGATCTCTGCAGTAGCAGTGGGGGTATCTCCGGTGCATTATTTGGCTTAAGCGATCAGTGGCATCTAACACTATTAGATGAGTTATGTTGAGTATGCATTCCTCGAAAAGGAATTAATGCACAGAGTACACTGTCCCAGCAAAATTAGTTTGCCCTGGCTTTGTTTTAATACCTGAAGTGCATATCCTGGTTTCAAATTCAAGGAGCTCCGTTAAGTTCTGATATTTGAGTCTGGAAAGCACACATTTACTTCCAGTGTGCTATGTATCTTAGTCAGACCTGGGTGTCTTTTTCTCATCTCTGCCTAATGTTTTGCCTGGCTATATATTTCTGTTAGAGGAAGACTTTAGCATTATCTTTGGGGTTCAGATTCTTTGCTAAAACGGAATATCAAATCTACTATTGGTGTCGAGTGTGCAATTTAGATTTGAATGTAGCCACATTAGACTCCAAGAAAATAAAACCATATGAGAAATGCCGTTCCCACTTATGCAACTACTGCTCTGTTGAGCACATGTTTATGAAGTAATACCATATATAGCACAGTAATATTTGCTGTGTTGTCATCTATCTTTGTTTTCAGAACTAGGGTTTGCTGGTGGCAAGTCGAAGTCCTTGTATGGAAAGGAAGGGCATTTGGGTCTGACACTTATCAAGTTCGCAAACAACCCATCTGGCTTGAAGGAGGCTGAGCGCCTTGCTGAGTTTTTTGAGAGGCAAGATCATGGACGTGTAGGTTGGTCACGTGGACAGGCTACTCACAACTTAGACCCTGATACGAACCCTATGCTGGTTGAGACTGATAGCAGGGGTGAGAAAAAGAGAATACTTTATGGGTGCCTTGCAATTTCCTCTGATCTGGATGAATTAGACTCGGATTCAAGAAAAAGGGCTACTGTCAAGAGCATAAAAGAATTTGACCCATCTGACTAGTCTCCTCAGAAAGGCCCACCACCCCGCCAGTTTGTTTAATTTAGACTGAAACATCTGTATCTTCTGTCATTTCTGATTTCCTAGATACATGCTACTGATGTGCTCTGGATATCTTAGTATGGATATAATACCTGCCCTTAGGATGCTTATGGTCATTATTATTATTCCTGGGATTTATTTTGTATAAGTCTTTTCTGCCAGGCATCCATCGCTCACTGATTGAATGATTATCTGGAAGACTAATTGTTCTTCCAAAATTGGTAGTTATTTATTGCATTATCAACTGCCCGCAGTATGAACTGTGATATTGATCTTGCCTGTAGTGCATTTGGTAGATAAATTCTCGGCACAATTCATGGTAATCTGGAAGGCTCATTATTCTTCCAAATTGATGGTTATCTATGGCGCTTGAATGTTGAAAGTGAGGACGGGATACATTTTTTGTTAGGGATTAACCAGTCTATATATCGTTGCATTAGGTCAGTACTATTATATTGCCTATTTCTAGGGAACTGCCATAATCTTTGGATGACCCTCATGTTTGTATTGGTCTTCACATTCGGGTTCTGCTTCCAGCAATCTGTTGCATGGCACAAGATGGTGGCAAAACCACTTGAATGTCATGTGGCGCTTCTTAGTACATTTTTGTTCAATTTGTGTTTGCATTAGGGGCAGCTGTCATTTTGGTTCCATTACTTGATAATTAGGTTTTGAAAAAGATAAGGCTCAGAGATGATAGTGGAGGAATAATAGTGTGCTTATAAGTTATAACACTTACTAGTAGTAAATAAGTATTCGAATTTGAATGTACTATATGGGAGACTTAGTTGAAGTACCACATGCTATAGTTACTTATCAAAACGGTGTTATGTCAATTAATATTGCAGTCTATAGAGCACCATCATATAAAATGATAAATAGCTGCACCATTGTTTTTAAGGCGTCCTGCCTAGGTGATAAGGTGCCCTGGCAGCGCCTTGCAAATATGCCTGCCTTAGGCGCTTAGAGCGGGTGGTGCTCGCCTTAGGTGGCCTTACTGCCTTAGAAACAATGAGCTGGACTCTAGTGCATCTTCACTCTTCTCTTTATCAGGATGCCAAATATGATTTTAGCTTGTTTTTTGTTGGTGGGAGTGCAGATAGTGTTGCTGTGTGTCCTTAGTGCTCCTTCTGCTGCCTTTTTGTTTTGTTTTGTTTTCGAAGCTATGCTCCTTGTGCTGCCTGGAATGTACTTATGCGTATTGATTTCCCGGCGGCTGTGCTCGTGGCCGGCCATCGAAGGTGATTTAGCTGGGCTGTGCTGGACTTGGAATGCTGCTGCCTGCTGCATTAGTGCAGGTTGCTGATCCACCCGATGATGTTTTGGCGTTGCAGTGATAGCTGACATGTCTCAGTTGTTCCTTTGTTGAGGTCGAAATAATCAGAGAGCAAGCCACACACTTAACTTGAGGGCCCACTTGGCGATTGAGGGCAGCGAAACCACACATGGATCGGCGATATCTTCAGCTCTCCTGACAGCTACACAGCGGCGGCAGAGGCCCTGAGAGCTCTTGGCATCCACCAGGACTAAGGCTTCAGAGAACTACTGGCAGTGACATTTGCTTTCCGATGTGTTGGCGGCAGATTCTGGGGAAGAAACACCAACGGGGACCAAGTTCTAGCGACATGGACCTAACAGAAACAGATGATTAAGTCTAGTGTGTAGTACTATGTTGATTATTTCTGGTTGGTCGCTGGCAGCTGAGTAAATGGTACGTACACTATGCTGGCCGTCCCTTGTCGGTTCGAAATGGAAAAGCGAACAACTTTTTACCGTGATCTGGTACAGAAGTGTCCAATGAGCTTTCGGCAGCATTCATTTCGGATCTACCCAACCTATGCTGGAGTAGTTTTTATTAACCCATTCTGTCGCCTTGTTCATCCAGCATTCCACTCACTTCCACTGCCGCTGCGTGTTCACTCCCTTGGCTTGCCCACTACATTCTCCACCGAAAAGAAGAGCACATCGAGCAGGAAGATGGATGCCCAGGGCGCGATCGACTCGCTCCTGGGCTGCCTCACCACCGTCCTTGTCAGCGAGGCGCAGCTGCTGGGCGGCCTCCGCGGCGACGTCGAGTTCATCAGCGACGAGATGGAAAGCATGAACGGCCTGCTCATGCACCTTGCCGAGTCCCACAACCGCGACAACCAGGTCCGGGCGTGGATGAAGCAAGTGGCTGGCCTCAGCCGCGACTGCGAGGGCAACGTCGAGCTGTACATCCAGTACATCGGAGGTGCTGGTCCCGGCGCCAGAAAGGGCGTCCTGGGCTCCTTGCTTCGGATGCTTCGCTTTGTGCGGACCATGTCCGCCCGCCACCGTATCGCGACGCGGATCCGGGAGCTCAAGGTCCGGGCCCGTGACGTTGGCGACAGGCGGGAGAGGTATGGCGTCACTGTCCCGCCGGCACCATCTCGCACCATCCCCGATGCTCCGGCTCCGCAGCCGGGCGGACCTGAGGAGGAGGAGGATCTGCGAAGACGTGAGTTGCTCTGTGGTGAACCACCGGACACTAGAGAGGAGGACATCAACAAGGTCATTGAGTGTCTCCCCCAAGAGAACTTGATCTGTATTGAAGGAGAGGGTAGCGTGGGGAAGACAGATATCGCACGGAAGGTGTTCAATCACCCTTCCGTGGTGACAAATATCCGGCACAGGGTTTGGGTCAACAATGGAGGGCTGAACAGAGAATATCACGAGGTACGTAAGGAGATACTAGAACAACTACAACACAAGATGAAGAGCTTGAGGGAAATTGGCAAGCACTCAAGAATTTCTGAGTATATGTCAGATGGAAACGTTCTAATCGTTCTTGATGGTGTCAATGACCAACCAAAGGACTACAGTTCCCTAAGTTGTTCTGAACTCGAAGCATTTACATACAATGCAGTACCTCTGAGTGTTCATCTTTCCGCTGGATTATACAGTGACTTTCGTCGGAGAGATGTTTATGTAATAATGACCGGAAATCACTTTTATAATGACCACATACGCACAGGATATTATGCTAAAAAGTTCCGGTGTGAAACTCGTCCGAATTTTTTCAGAAACAGAGCATTGGGCCTTGCCAAGTGTGAAGGTTCTGCTGTATTGGCAGTTTTAACCAAGTGCTACCACGGCACCCTTGCAGCGCACCTGTTCCTTTGTCTACTGTATGTCAATCCTCGCAGGGCTACGGCGGAACTGGAAACCTTATGCCGTGTCCTAGAGGAGAGCAGAAACAATACTGATAAGACGATACTTATGGTCTGCTACAACGAGCTCCCTGGTCATCACAAGAGCTGCTTGATGTACCTATCAATCTTTCCTCAAGGACACATAATCATGAAAGCTGATCTGCTGAGGAGATGGGTCTCTGAAGGACTGATAACCAAAAGAAGCGTTGGGACGAGCACGCTGCATGATCAGGCCGAGCGCATCTCCGACTCACTGGTCACTCGAGGCTTTATATGTCCTGGAGAAATCAGCTCTGCAGGCAAGATTAAGAGCTTTACATTGAATTCCATTGTTCATGATTTCATCGTTACAGATGTAGGCTTCGTGGATACATCATCACGGCCTGAGCTAGCTCACCGCTTCTCCATCAACAGTGGGGTAGCAATACAGGAAGAATCTCTTTCTGAGTCTGATTCCGATCCATCCGGCCATGGCATCTTAACTACAATTGAGTCTCTGGCCGAATCTGGTCAATGGCAGTTTCTGAAGGTGCTGGATCTTCGAGGCTGCAAAGGGTTGAAGAAGAAGCATCTAAACAGTATTTGCAAGATACTGCTGCTCAAGTATTTGAGCCTCAGGAATACAGATGTCGCTGAACTGCCGTAGGACATTGAGAAGTTGCAGTGCCTGCAGACATTGGATATCCGGCAGACGGCGGTATGGGTACTTGCCACAAAATCTGTTGTGCTTCCAATGCTAAAGCATCTGCTTGCTGGGAAGAGAGACTCTCCGACTCCAAGCAACGACTCTGATACTGATAGGTTCGAAGAGTCGTTTGCGGTGGTGCGCCTTCCCAGGAGCATCCGAAGAATGGAAAAACTTGAGGTGCTCTCCCATGTTGAAGTTGCCCATAGTGACGATCTGACTGACGTCGGCAAGCTGCTACGTCTCAGAAAGCTTGGGGTGATTCTCCAGGGTAAGAAAGAAGAACTGGAACTTCTGTTCCAGCAGGTTGAAAAATTGTATGGTTGCCTCCGCTCCCTGTCAATCCAGATGGACCAGCAGACGAAAAGCCAGAGTGGTAAGATCGGCCTCACCTTGGATTGCTCAGACAAGGGGCCTCCCATTGATTCCCACTAGAGAAACTACAGCAGCACATGTTGTTTGAAACAAGTTAACGCGAGACAATCTGCACAAAAGGAACAGGGTGGCACAGCACAGCTCGAGCTGAGCTCTGAGTGTGAAACTGTTTTCTGGGTGTCCAATGCCGCTGGCCACGGCGTCAACGGCGGAGATGGACCCAGTTTGAGTTTCCGACGGCACGGCCGCGACGGCGCCGGCGGCTGAAGCAGAGAATAGGAGGACTCGTGGCTTCAGCGGTTGACCGGCCTATGCTGAGTTCTTTTTCTTTTATGTTTTTTTTAGCGGTTGACCGGCTGTTCCCGGGCCGCATTAACGAGAAGGCTTTCGTCGAGGTGAGAAATGGGAGCGATGTCCAGAAGCCCAGCTCAGGCCAGAAAAATATAAATGGGCCACACTATTTTTTCTACTAAAAAAATACTATGGCCCATTTATATCAGGTATGATAAAAAAACCATCTTTGATGAGCACTCCTTCGGGAGCCTTGCAACGATCAACGCCCCTTGGCGCGCTCTCAGCCGTCCACCACGTGTCGCGCTCTAGACGCTCTCTTTGGATTTTGTTTTTTTATTTTTCCGCACGCGTTTTTGGCTTTTTAAATATTTTTTTTGGTTTTTCACAGGTCTTCCTTAGCTTTTGGATTTTTTTTAAAACAAAAAATTTTGCAC